TTGAACTTTAAAAAATAAGCTTTTAACTCAGTGCATAAAATTGTCGCACCCCCTGAAATTCCATCTTTCACCCCCTGGGGTGCAGGCACCCCAGGTTGGAACCTCTGATATAGAGCATCTGAAAACACTTACCTAATGCGGATGGATATCCAGTCCAAACTACAGATCTGTGACATTACATACCATTCCTTTTTGAAAATACAGCATTGGGAGTTTGCCCAGATACATATTCCTGGAATAGATTCATAAAGTTCTTGGGCTTCTGAAATATTATTACAGCTTTTCCACATTGTACAGGAAAATCTCACCCACAGGGAATCAGCATTGGTTCATATAATCCAAAACAACTCCTGTGTGGTCTAGGGTATCCACAAGGGGGATCAAAAAAGTCAAGATGGCGACTGGGATTGCCCAGATGCAGCTGCTGTTTTTTTTTTTTTCTAACAACCCTGTCCCCCACAGATGCCCTACATATATCTTTGCCTAAAAGTGGGATGTGAGGAGCAGGGAGTTAATATTTAGAAGGAAATCAGATGAAATGTCTTTTGTAATTTCAGCAACTTACTGGATTCAGTATAAAACTGGCATTGACAGACATTGCGCTGATTCTCCAATGCTTAATTTCTGATCTGAATGCTTGATTGTTAGTTGCAAGGGATCTAGGTAGTCAGTGGCAGAATAAGCTAAAACAAAAAACATATATGGTAATGGTTTTTGTTTTTAAGATCTTTCCCTAAAGTCTCTGACTGCAAATGCTATTTTCCCAAATCTTGAATCACCACCCATTTTTATAATTAAAGCTGCCTTCTTAATCGCTACCTAAACATGGTAGTTCTGTGTCTCATACTGCTTGCATTCTGAAATCTTCCTGAGAAGCTGTTAGTGGAGTCATAGAATGCTGTGGTTGGAAGGGGTCATTTAGAAATCCATTTATAAAAGAAAACCACCTCTGGGGTGGTACGTTAACTTTAGACCAAAACTTTTCATTTCATTGGGTATTTTAAATGTAAAATGTTAATATATTTCTCTGAGATAGTTTTTTTTTTCATTTTGATGCCTCTTAATTCTGTAATTTTAGCTTTAACGGATTAGAACAAAATTAAGACATATTTGGTGCATCTGTTGTTTATTCGGACTGGCAATAATTATCCAGGGTTTTATTTATTTCTTTACCTTCTTTCTCCATAATGCCGACTCCATAAGGACTCCCAGGCATTTCCTGTAGGCATTTACCCAGCTGTATGTGGAGATGTTAGGTACTGAATCTGGAACCCGTGTGCAGTGTAGATGCTTATGTGGATCACTTTGGAGTCATATAAAAAGTGGTAAATCTGCCCTAATCCACCCCAGCAGCTTTGAAGGATACCAAGACAAGAGGTTGGACTCTTTGTAGGTGTACCATGAAAGAAAGGAAAGTATCAGGAAGTATTTCTGATAGGAATTTTAGGGGCTTAAGCTATGCTTGTGCTCATTCACACTTATCGACAAGTGGCTTTTGTTTTAGCTTTTCTGGATTTGCCTGCTATGTTGAGTGAATGAAGACATCACGTGTTAACATACCATAGTAGATGCAAAAATACTTGGGGGGGGGGAGAACTTTGGAGTGCCCTACCAAAAATTCCACTTGACTAAGGAATGTATAATTATGAACACCATTAACCTTTTTCATATGATTTTGACAAATACTGAGGAGATCCAATGCCATTTCAGTGGAAAGGCTACTCTTAGATTACTTCCTGAATCAGTTTCTGCTGCCAACCAGCACCACTAAGTCCTCCATTTTAGACACTATATTTGAAAGATTAGAGATAGCTTCCAAAAAGTCTCTTGCACATCTACTAGTATGTGCAAAGAACTCTTGTCTATTTCTCTTGCTTGTCCAGGTTTCCTGAATGTTCAGGGGAGAACGTAGGGCTGGCTGGATGTGCAACTTTATATGGATGTCCCACAGGTGACATTACTTCTCCTCAACTTGCTAATTCTGAAAAGATGTTTTATTGACTGTCATTCTGTAAAAGATTCTCTTTACTTGACAAGCATGCTGGAGCGGTTACATTTAGTTGATTAAATTCTTTAAATGCTTTAAAAAATTTTTGACCCTTACTTGTGTGATAATTTTTTCCCCCTCTAAATTATGGTTTTTTAAATGAAAACTGCTTACAAAACTTTGGGCTGCATGCAGTGTCTTTGAAAATGTATTCTTCCTTTTATGACACATGTGAGCAAAGAGCTTCTCAAGGAGGTTACCAATTATGCTACATCCATAGTTAATCTAAAAACAAATCTTTTTTTTTTTTCCTTCAGAACGGCTGTTTGTTTAATTTGCAATCTGTTATCCATTATTATTGCTAGATTTTTTAAATTGAGCTAACTGCATTCGGGGCATTTTCAGATGAGAACTCTAGCAATCAAACCCATGGGGTGGCTCTTGTCTTTCTTCCAATGGATTTGCCTTGTGAAGAAGAGGTGGGATGGGAGAATGGGAGGTTTTGAAACGAAAGATGGTGTAACCTGAGCCCTTGTAAAATTCCATTAAGAAATTGTAGCAATTGCACAACAAAAGTCTTGGGTGGAATCATCTTAACACAAGTTGTTCTATGATAAAAAATCAGGGAATTGAGCATGCACAGAAACAATAGCTTTTAAGTCCTGGAATAAGAAAGTGATCAGCAAGATTCTTAGATACAGCTAAGAATTCTGGATTTGGGGAGACATCCAGCAGGTCTCAATTTGGTCCCTGTTAATCCAAAATATGGTGAAGAGTATCATTTTATATTTTTCACTACATGCAGATGAACATTTTCCAATATTTTCCTGAGGTGATACTGTGTTTTGATTTCCTATTAATGGCTGAAGAATGCTCTAGACTCCTTATTCTTTTTTTCTTTTGAAGGTTCCCTATCTACATTCAGAAAAGTCCTGAAATTGTTTAGGCTATTATCCATCTATATGTTATAATGTAGTGTTCCACATGCCTTTAATGAATAAATGTAAACTGTTTTGTCTTCTGCAGGGTATAGAACGGCTTAAAAAACAGCAGCCAACTTGGGAAAAAGCCAGCGGCTGGGAAGGGATGAAACTGGCTTTCGGGGGTAATTTTTCACTGCGATGGTTCAGTCCCTTTTCAGACCTGAATTGCAAGAAGGCTCCGCCAGCTGGGACTGCAACAGTTGCTCCATCGGAGATGGCTGTGCAAGAAGCCTTCGAACCATTTTATGATCCAATGGTGGTTGTGGAAGTATTAAGCGATTAATATAAAGTATCTTTACAAAAGTCTGTTCTTTCAACATTTGTGCACCTGAGAGTTAGCTTTAAGGTACCACTGATGCATGAAACTATGGAAGCTTTCTTCTTCCCCTAGCTAAGGACCTCACTAAGCAAAGATAATGCAACTACTTTCCTACGCCATTTAACTGATGATGGGTTAATTATGCTTCAATAATTGTACTACAGAAAACCTATCATCTAGATTGGACAGCTTCTAAAAATGAGCAATGAAAATGCTGTTTAGGAGAAAATGGGCAAACTTGGTTTAACCAACTGATCCGTTAGATATAAGGAGTGTGTTTTCTCAAGAT